GAATAAATCTTTAATCTGTTTGCATACAATTGCTATATCTTTTATATATTCTATTAATTTTCCCATTGATTAAATTTGATAATATTAAAGTATATGGAAATATTGCGATACACACATGTGTTAAGAACTTTTGGTTCGATACCAAATTTATGTTCTTTCTTCTCGGAATACCACTTTGAAATGACTTCACGTGCGGAAACGATTAGTTTAGGATCAGAACACTGCATTGAATAAATATTTTCGCCGTACGGAGACGACGATTGAGGTATAAGTTTATTTGTGTTTAGCAACGTGTTTGCCCAGGCCTAAGAATGAATAAATATATGTATATAATGCAACTAACTTTTATGACATTTTTTACACAATTCTTAATCAGTTAATATATTAAATAATTAATATACATATAAATACATTCCAATGATAATATTGTATATTCTAAAATACCTTGGCAGCTGCTGTTAATTCCGGATTTAATCTTAAATCCGGTACACGATGCTTTCTTCGATACTCATTATGAACCAGTAAAGCTTCCTGCTGCCACGTTTGCTCGTCTCTATAATGTTGTTTTAGGTCGGTAAAATTAATTCGTTTCGTAGGACTTGCTTCCACGGGTGGAAGGACATTCTCCGTGAAACTGCCTAAGAAATTCCCAGCAGGATTGTAATTACACACAACATAGACTTCGCCATTTCGATTTCTAGCCATTCCCACCCCTAATTCAGTACTATCCCTCCAGATCACTTGTGTGAAGTGACCAGTCTTCAATGTTGTAGGCTCTTTTCCATATTGATGCTGAGCTTCTTCAGCATACCTACAAAAAGTAAAAGTTTCAATACATTACATTACATTTAAGTATGAATATAATCACCTTATTAAATGATAAAAAAATTATCTGTAATACAGATTTAAACATATTCGTAAAAATTTTATTAATTTTAATAATTACAAATAATTACCTACATTAGACTTGATAGGAAAATACAATTAAATGTTTAAAATAACAATTTGAAAGTCAGATCTCTATCTTTTTTTAATTTATATTTAAGGTTAATTCAAATATATATATTGATAAAAAAAAAAGAAAACAATAATTATTTTTATTTTATATTAATTATGACTTCATATTATATGTTATTGTACAGTTGCCACATTACATTACATTGAAATCGTTATATTAATTATGACTTCATAATTAACATATAATGTAGCAACCGTGTTATAACATATGCAATGTAATATGCATTAATAATAAATATATGTAATCATCTCACCATTCATTCACTGGTTCTTCGCCACCGACAACTGTCTTTGGATTGGAGCTCCACATACAATAGAGATTCTCTCCATAGTCAATATTCGCTCTATGTTCTAATCTACCTTTAGCGGCCAATATATTAGCCCAGTCTTGACTTGTCTTGCACAGCTGAAAACAAATACCGTTATTTATAGATTCCAATTAATATTGTTAGCAGAGATCCCTCCATGCTTTGGAGAATGAGAAATATAAAAAATCGACTTTCTTCGATTCTTGAAACTTGTTCAATGAGGGTTACGATTTTATTATGATTTTATTGCAAAAGAAAGGTCGAGAGAGTAGTAAGACAGTAACCTGCTTGCTGAGTCGTAACGGCGGTACTCCATGCCGCGATCGGTAGAAATTATGCGTATCGAGGCAGACGTTAATAAATTCCTTCGGAGGTCCCGATCTGCGTACAGATGGTTTACGTGTGTCAATCTTTGTTATCTATAACATATAGAGACAGCATTGTATGACGGATTGAGATCAAACATATCTATTAGTAAAATCTACAAGTATATTTACAAAGATTCTCATTAAGCATTTAATTACATTTCATTATAATAGAACTTAATGTGTATTTTTTCAAACATCGCAAGTTGAAGTTTTGAAGTTTTAGATTTTAAAAAATTTGTTTATATCACTGACTTAAAATCTGCACATTTTGTAAATGTCATATTCATTGATTTTAAAATTATAAAATTTTACTGAAATATCTCAATGGCATTAGTATGTACCTTTCACAAGATTTTAAAGGTTTAAAAAAAATAGAAAAAATACAAATGGTATTCTTATTTAATTGCGAATTGGGAACAATACGATATATAGTACGATATATAGTAAGCAATAATGATATAAATAGTAAAAGCCAGACAGTGTCCTTAATAACTTAAACGCAGAACCGTTTATAGGAAGAAACTAACTGAAAGAATTGATTTCCCATCGTTCTGTAGGAATACGATTATCTGCTACACGATTAGAGTATTCATAGATAAGCTTCTATTCGTGCTTCCGTTTGCACGTGTGAACGCTTAAATTTCTCTTACTTGCTGAGAAAACTTGCTGTCGAGTGTAATAAATTACTAAAATATAAATAATGAAGAAATAATACACTTTTTAAGATGTCATTTCAATAACTGAATTAGAGATCGTAATCTAAAACAAAACAGCGATAATTATCGTGAGACTCGAGCTGATAAGTTCAGAGCTTTCCGACAATCATCTATTTAATTGCTTTAAAGATCTGTTCTTTTAGTTAAATTTCTTGCACAGTTCATTTTTCTCTTTTTCTTTTCACGTAAGAGAAAAAGAAAAAAAATACAAAAAGATCTGAAAAGAATAGATCGATCTTTATAATTTGCAAAATGTAGGCGATGACTTAAATTGAAAGCCAAAAATGTTAACATTAAATTATTAAATAATTTCAATAGTTTTCAATAATAATCTTTAAAATACTGTTAACTAAAAAATTAATTAAATATTTATAAACAGAGCATTTATGAAAGAAAAAAAGAAAAATTTTGCTACCGCTAGATTAAACAAAATTCAACAAAATTCAACAAAATAAATTGTTTCAATGATCAGTTATCAGTACCAGATAGTCGGCTAAAAACTTAGCAGTTATTGAGTTCACTGTTTGATGAATATACATGAGTTCGCGCTACAATCGCTTAACCGTTTTGTAAGCAAGGCCATTAGCATGAGTGCAAAAACATCATGCGCGTATGAAGAACAAGTCCGACGAATGAGAACGCAATGCCACGCGCACGGAAAATGGAGCGGAAAAATCGATTCCGCAAGCGCATGAAGCGATTTAAACTTCTGATAGATTAGTCATCGCATTAGTCGGACGATCATCCCAATGATCCACCAATCATCCAAAAGGTGCAAACCAGTGACTCTCAAAAAGGAGTGATTCTGAGTCATCGCAAAGTGGCAATGCACCTTTCCGCGAAGCAACTCTTATAATGTTTAGGCTCCTTTCACACTGCACGCAATGTCACGTGCAGTGAAGATAATCGTCAAAGAGTTACGCTTTCCAACCGGCTAATTTACCAAGTAGATTGAAACCAAAAGACTCCTAACATGAAGAAATTGCAGTAGATCAAATAGTGAAAAATTAACTAGCGAAGAATAGTCATCAGTTAAAATTAATTAACGTATCTACTTAAACGTTTCTACTTAAATATTGTATATCTTTGTATTTAAAGTATGTAAATATGTTAATTCTTTTTTAGAATCACACCCGGCATTGCTAGTTCATAATTGTAGCGAAAAAGACTGATAACTAAACTTAGACAACTATTTGTTACACAAATAATTTCTTAATATAACGCGGTTTATTTTCAAAAGTAATTTATGATGCAAATGTAACCTTACAAAGTATAATACTTTTATAAACGCATTTAGATATAATTTATCACATAGTACAAGTAGCACGAACTAATTGCTTATTATGTTACATTGTAATATTGTTAATATGATCAGCAATTTACATAATACTATCTGTTTTCTTCATTTGTAAGCGCAATATAAGCAGTCGCACATTTATGTAAAGATATAGAACTGAGAAAATTTTGATTGTTTTACTGTTTAGACTTTCTATAAATATTATTATTTTTTAACCTTTTAGACCAGAACTTTTCGGATTTTTCGCTTTCTTACAAAAGTTTGGTTGGCCATGGAAGTTTAGATAATAAAAATTTGAAATAAGAAAAAAAGAATTATTATGACTTCAGAATTTCAAAATCATGGAATTTTATCTTCTTTATTCCTTAAAATTATTAGATTTTAAAGTTCTGTATTTTCTAAGCATTTATCTCAAATTCTTATAATTTTAGATTTTCAAATTTATATTTTTGGTGAAATATCAATAAGCAGTTACGATAAATGTCGATACCTGTGAGGACGAATATCTCGCAGAATCGGGAGATGCTGAAGAAGACCTAGCGCTGCTACAAGACATGCCATCACTTCCTAGACTGCCATGAAAACTACCATGCAAGGAATTCGACAAAGGACCCGGCGATGCTGGCGATGCCGTCAACGGAGACTTCGATCTTACTGAATCTGTCCTCGACCTAAAAGTAGACCGATTACATGGTGTACGAAGAAATACAAAGTGCTCCTTTTTGTTCCAGACAGCACAGTGACGTATGAATATTTAACGCTTTAAATAAGCAGATCGAATTTATTGAATTTTTTGCACTAGAAGCGATTTTATATGAGCGAATGTAGATCAAGTTTTGTTCGAATTGGATATGCTTTAAGAATTCCTTACAATTTACAATTAGTTATTTAATACTCTGTAGACATTATAAAAATCATTAAAATTAATTTTATTAATAGTTATCGATAAATAATTAGTTTTATTTTAGAAATAAAATTTTAATATATAAACTGTAGACTATAGTTACATACATACATTTGTAACTACGTAGATTAATATTATTAAATAAGTACATACATTTATAACTACGTAGATTAATATTATCAAATAAGTATACAATGATTTCTATTATCAAATAAATTAAATAATTGTGTTTATTTGTCTTTGATAATATTAAAACAAATATTATACAATTAAAATATTTATAAAATTAAAAATGTAATAAGGAGAATTGTTTAAAGAAATAAGAATTTTAGAAATAAGTACATAAGAAAAAAATATTATTATAACTTTATTAATTTAATAAGAAAGAAACATAAATTAATCAAAAATTATTATTAAAAAATTGCTTTTAAAGTTTTATTACTATGATGATATTTAAACAATAATGTGAACAATAGTGTGAAATTAAGGAACGTAATAGTAATTTATGTTTGTAATTACACACACACACACACACACACACCACACACACACACACACACACCCGCGCGCGCGCAAATACATATATATATGTGAAATATAATTATGGATTAAAACGTATCAAAGAATTGTGTAAATGGTACAAATATTTAATGACAAAAGTGCAATAAATCGTAATCCAAAGTCAGCATTATCTTAAATCGTAATAATTCAAAATTTTTATCATATCGTTAAAGCTCGCTTATGAAACGCCATTATTTCTTTAATAATTTTCAAAGATGCAAATTATAAAATAAAAATTATATAATATTATTTTAAAATGGCATAATCTAATATCATAATCAATATTCTTTTTCAATTTGCGCGCGCGCGCGTGTGTGTGTGTGTGTGTGTGTGTGTGTGTGTGTGTGTGAAGTGTAATTGATATTTATAAGGTATAATAAAATTTCAAATACTGTTCTTTACGTATCTTAATGGAATGAGAGCAAGCAAAAAAGCCAATGAAGTTACGATGTGTCATGATCTTGATTGTAGAGATCACATAGATGATCATTATGGCATGTGCAATGAATCGAAGCGATCGAACGTGAGAGTATTTAATAGCATACTGTAATTACAACGGTATATCTTTAATCTAGTTCTCTAAAATGTTTCACGATAGGCTGAATACTGTTTACTCCAGTAAACAATTCACGACGTAGATATCCATTATACACTTATAATGCAAATAATCGTGTCATGCAAAATTGCATATTGAATAGGACTGTGCAGTTAACTTCGCATTAGAATATAAATAGATTCAACTTATTTACTGTTAAAAACGATCATTGTAAATTATGTTGTATAATTTTGTCATGATTCACTGGAAATTTGTAGATAAACATCGAATTAAAAATACATTTGAAGAAGCTCGATATTATTCGATGAATTGACAAATCTGTTCATTTATTATTATGTTTATATGAAATAGACATGTTCTGAGCAGAAAGTTCTAAGAATATTTAATATGCGTTTAACGAGTTTCAAGTAATTCGCAATCTGACATCTGTTTATTGAACGAACATACCAACAGCGCATCAAACGGCGAACATATTTAAAACAGGAGCTGCCTAAATTAGAATCTTAAAAAATTTTTAGGAAAGTCTCATAAAAAAAATTAGATATAAATTTTAATTGAATAGCTTTAGTCGTTTACATAAAATAAAGCATAAACGAGAAAATATCCATTTATATATATTATAAAAAGAATTAATCAAAATTAATATAAGTTTTCTTTACATGAATTAAAATATCTAAATGTAAAAAAACCGTTTTAATTAAAACAATCAAACAATAAACTTTTAAAAATTCGAACGATTTCAGTATTCAGCCGAAAGATGTTACATCACAGAAAGCCAAGAGAGAGCTGAAAATTCCAGAGTTCTTACTGGACCTCATTAAAGATCATGTGAAACACCGACTTTATCGTGCTAATCTATGTATATATATATATATATATATATATATATATATGTCGTCACATATGCCTTTACGAATACGGCTCATACTTCCTCCTTCCTACGAGTTTCTACAACGCGTCCACGGCCATGGTCGCTGCAAAAGAAAGGTTGTTAGTTCCTTTGTTACGTCGCGCCCAGAGGAAGAAGACTGATTGTAATTCTTCAAGATGCTATAAGGGTCCGATCACAATAAAATACAGCATATCTTATAATAAAATATAAATAATATTTTTTAAAGTTTTGAGTTAATTTATATATAATTAAAGTCATGATTAAATAATACTTCATAAATAATTTTAAGAAATAAAAAATTAACAAGAAAATTTAATTAGAATAAGATTTTGTTATACAAAACTAATTAAGTCAAATAGGGCGCCATTATATCAATGATTTTTCCTTTGAACTATTGCCTGAATTAAAAATTGTTTTATGCACACATTATAGCACTAACAATTAATAATTATATTTGGACAATTATGAAATTACTATTGTCATAACGTGTGCGTGAAATCACAATTTTTAATATTCGGACAATCATTTAAAAAAAGTCATTAATAAAATATAATCATGATATAATCGTGATTGATTGTTTATACAATTACCTTCATAACTATATTATATTTTGTTCTTAAAATATAATTCACAAGAATTTTATATATTCAATAAAATTTATTATATTGCGTGTATTAAAATTATCTACTTATCTTTTAAAAAAAAAATTAAGAAAGATTTATTCTAAATTATCAAAAGATTCCAAAATAAAATGAAATCCGAAAATTTTAATTTATGTCGTATTTTATTGCATACCTTTTTTTTATACCTTATAGCATATTTTGTCTTACTCATTCAAACGAGTTACATTGAAAATTTTTCTTGACCACACCACTTGCGTAGGCGGAATTGCATATACGGTCGAGCAATGATTCTTCTTCGATAAGGATTTAATACCGACAATACGAATGCCTCGCGGCGATTAATCTTTCGCTTAAGTAAACTTTTTCTGATGAACTTGACAGCATACAAATGGCATTGTATAACTGTAATCATATTTAAACAAACGAAAATCATTTATAAATTTTAAAATAAGATTATCTTTTTGTTAAATTGTACTATTACACATTAAACGCATATTTTAATTGTAAATTGAAGACACATTTTCAATTTGCTTTATGATGAAATATTTATTTTGGATAATTGTTAATAAGTTATCAAATATTATACCAAATTTACAATAAAACAGTATCGTTTTGAGAACTATTAATGTAGAAAAGAAGTATCAATGATAATAATAATTTAAAGAGAAACGCATAAATAAATTTTACAGCCTCCAAGAAAATCTCGTACTTTCAATTTAACTCAACAGTATAAATCTCATTCCTGGCTAGTGAATGTTATCGTCCTGTTACGCTATCGTGAAAGCCGGTAATTTTCAGTATTCTTACAGAATTGCCATCTTCTTGCGACTTGTTTGAACGTAAGCACGCAAACTTTCAGCTGTCGCTCTGCTTTCTACGTGCCACCTACGCTAAATGAACTAGGACTACATACCGATCCTAGTGAAGTTTCAGAAAATATCTAAGTGATAATACTGACAAAGTACTAGATGCCGTTGGCAAGTCTTTAATAAGCTTACTTTTGCTTCACTGGAATCGGAATTTGATTAAACTGCAAGTTTGTGCCGCATAGGCAATTATACCTGTCGGGCGACACTTGATCGACAAAACCGACCACCTTCTTTTTTGTTCCGTGCACGTTGAGTGATGGCATACTATAAGAGCAACGACTTACACTAGAGAAATGTTAAATATTGTATTCACTTCTTATAAGTAGTATTAGAAATAAAATAGAAAATTTGTCGAGATAGAATTTTATAAACTCTTCAATATTCAACAAATTATAAAGAGCGATGACAAAAGTTAAAAAATATAAGGCTTATAACATAATATTAGAAATTTTATCTAACAAATATATATTATATTGCTGACTTTTCTTATAAAATTGGCTTCTTATTTTGACTATTCTTATCATAAATCTCAGCAGTTGGAAACATAAAAAATATTAGCATTTTTAAATTAAAGAAATTTAATAAATTCAAGCAATCAATAAAAACCTTTTTCTCTCATTTAACTTCATATATATATATAATTCATATATAATTTTTTTTGTTAAAATCTATTTTTAAATATAATTAATGTTAATAAATAATTATATACAAAAATAAAGTAATGTTAAAAAATGAAGACAATAAGACTGCTTTTTAATTCAATTCTTATTATATATTAGAAAAATGTTGATGCCAAATTAATCAAAGAATTAATTAAATAATAGTAATAGAGATTCTTCTATAACATTTTGTATATAAAAATTTTATTTATAAAAGCATTTTTCTAGAGGAAGGAAGATGATGTATCACATTACGTAATATTCCATATTCTATTGAAAACCACAATTGCTTCGATTCACAACATTATTCGCAAGATAATACTGAAAGAAATTAATTGCTCTGTAAGAATGTAGAAAACCTGCTAAATGTCGTACGACATTTTATAGATTCTTCACACGTATGCTTTAAAATTAACCGAAACGAAAGAACAAGTATCGCTCTTCCGCTTTTAGCATACAAGATAATTGAAAATTTGCGGTCTGCGGTTTGTCTCAGAAAATATCTTTCCATAAGATACAAAAATATATATATATAGTCACACACGAGTTTACTGTCCTACATTAGTTTTGAATATTTTTTAAATTCGAAAAAAGCTACCACACATTCATCGTATGTTTAAAGGTGCATTTGATTATCCAATCGGAAGAAAGAATTTTATTGACTAATTAAAAAATGCTTCGAAGCATTCATAGTGGCAACTCAACTACACCTTAAGTTTTAATAGTAGAATTTTTATCTATTAGCGACAATAAAATTTTTAGACATAAAGTAAAGACAGCAAACTTGGAATACCCTGTATATATCAACTAAGAGAAAGGTACTGAAACGCGAGACAGCTGATTTTACGACAGGTAAAGTTTTGTCTACTGCAAACCAAGATATAACAAGGTTCCGGTACACGTTCATGCAAAAAGGAAATACTCTTCCATCACGTACGACAAAGAAACATTTTACTAACACATGGATAATAGTAAACTATAATATCAATTTGTTATAAACACTATGATATGCATTTATTTCAATAGTTTTCAAAATTGTCTGTTTCTTTTTACTAAAATGTGAATATAATGAAAAAAGGAATGAATCGTATAACAATAAAAACAATATAACTATTATTAACTATTTAGAATCTAATATTCTTTAAAAATTAAAAATAGTATTTCATATAAGAATAATATTTCGAGAATATTAAAGATTAAATGAAGTGTACAATAATATTTCAAAATCTCTCGAATAAAGCATCAAACGATACATTATATTATATAATCTGATTTAAAGGCATCTCGTTAATTTATCTGTTAATATAATATCCATAAATAATTAATTCAATCGAAGAAATGTATTATTTTAATTAATTAAGTTTAATATATCTATTACTAGTATTTAACTAATAATTAAATAATAATTAAAAAATTGTCAAACCTATTAGACTTTGGTGTAACGATATCCCTTGTTTCGGAAGTATACTTCCTTTCGGCTCGACCACCATTAAAGAGTTCGACAGTTTCTCTGGTAACAGTTTCCAGAAGTGGTTCACCACCTCGTCTTCCTTTACTAAATGTCCTTTGATCTGTTTTACGAACCATGACCACCCTCGACAAGGGTTGATTGAACTCATGCCCATGCATGGTTGGAGGGATCATAGCCAGCGATTGTGAAAGAGGACCTCCGATTCGCGGAGACCTGTAACATAAACAATTATAATAATTAATAAAGCGAACAATACACTTCAAAATAGTAGCAATTTAAATATTACTAATATTAAATGTTAATGATATAAATATCTCTATTCGTATAGTAAATATAAATATCTTCGTACAGTTATAATTTTTATGAATTAAAATCGTTTGAAAAAAAAAAACATCCACTGAAATATTAGATAGTGTTACTACCTGTTTCAATTACTGCATCTATTTTGTTATAATTATTATATAATTAATTTATACTAATATATAATTAATCCTTCTTTCATATCTTTGATATCAGTATATTATCAGAAATATGCAATATCATTAATTATATGCATATGAAAATTCATAAATTTATTGTGTTCATAGCAACAAATTATAATGTATATTACAAAATATTATGAAATTATGATATTTAAATTAAAATACTTGTATACACATTTATATAAGATCCATAAATATATATATTTTATTATTTTTGTTTCTTCGTCACTTATGTTACTGTTATTTGATATAAAGGTTATAATACTTTGTTTATTTCAGATATATGATTGCATATCGTATACTTTTTCAAAATACACGATATCCAGCATTAGCTGCAAAACAGCATGCATTAAATAACTTGCTAAGCAAATAAGAACCGATAAATCGTCACTATCCCGTTTCCTCTTCATAATCAACGATCACATGTTGCAAACCTGTTCTTACCGATACACGCAATTAACGTCAATTGCTGGTGACTTTAATTATTAATAGTCTTCTCTTCGAACACTTCTGAACTTTCTTATGTATATAAATCAGTATCTTGTTTTCTCCGCTCTCATTGATGCATATCACAAGTAAATAACATTTTCCGGAAGCGATAATAGAAAAATAATTTAATCGAAGAACTTAAATCATCTACAAAAACCATAGTAACATTCTATCATTGTTTCAAGCGACGACATTTACAGTCTCTGTCTTTTATATAAACGTTATTATATAACACAAGATTTGTTTTCTACGAAAATTTTTCTAGGCAAAAATTTTGATCAGATATAATTTAATTTATAGATATAATTTAGAATTATTCAAAATTGAAGCAATTTTAGTGAACTAAATTTATAAAATTTATTCCAATTTGATAATCCACTTTAACTTATTATTAGATTAAAACTTCAAAACTCTTTGTTAAATGTGGTGTTGAAAATTTAATAATTATAACAAAAAATAACATTTAATAAAAATTTTGTTTGATATTTCATAAAAATTACGAGAAAACATTTTTTAAAAATATTTTTCGAAATATCTTATGAATAATTTTCTCTATTCCACAGTTAATGCAGTGTAACATAATGCCATTGTTACATTTAAAATGTTGAAGGATTTTGCAAGCTATCGCTTGGTCGAAATTAGTACTGGTTGTAATTAGAACGGAACAACTAGAACAAAATTCCCTTTCGACGTAAATCGTCATTTGCGTGCAAAACTCTGAATTAATCGGACGATTAAACTGCAATATGCACGCTAAGAGTAAGTACAACGCCTAAAGAAAATTTTCCTCATTACGTCTAAAGCGTTCCCTTGTTAACCCATCTCAATCTCTCGTAACATCGCGAATGAATTTTTTTTATAAGAATAATAGAATGATTATTTTAATAATGAGCTATATACAATATATATTTCATTTTCTCCTTTTCCAAATAAATGTATAAATATTCTCAAAAATATGTATTATCTTGATACACTTTTATTATTCCTTTTTACTTTAAAAAATATATATTTTTTTCAAATGCAATTCTGAAAAAATATTTTTTTCAAATATATTTTTCAAAATTAAGAAAAAATTAAGTAGTAAAGCTTAAAATGTTATTTCGATTAAATTTGTGTTCCTCTGCAATTATTTTTTGTCAGGCGAAATTCGCTTTCAAGCAGCATTACTCAAAATTAGCGAAGGAAGAAAATACTTCAGAGTAAAAGGAATTTGCATAATTTAATGAGAATTCGCGAAATTCGATAGAGAAGTTGGAAAACGTTACGCGAAAGGCGAAAGTGTAATCGACGATACAATTATGCCGCTAAAAAACTATGTACTTTATTATTACAGATCATCGCGATAAAATTTGAAAATGTATCCTAAAATGAAAAAGAATAATTTTTCTCTTTACTGCTATATATTTGATATTACTGACAAATACAATTATTAATCTACTGTTTATATTATTACTTTTTAATATAAAAAGGTATATCTTTAAATCTTTTAATGAATTAGTTTAATTTCAATTAAAATAAAGAAGTAAGACCATAACATTGATTCCTCTGAAGCTAAGCCTGAAGCTTTCTGAAGAAAGAAAATTTGTTTGAAAGAAAAAAATTCAAGCAACCATTTCTCTAAATCGCTCTATTTTTCTAATTAAAGAATATAAAATATTATCGATATTAACGATAGAATATTATTTCAAATCAATTTATACCCGAAATCTGTTTACAAAATACAATATTTGAATTCATGGATTATCCATGGTTAAGTTTTTTGCTACGAAGAAAGTCCAAAGACTTCCAATGAATAAACAGGCCGATGAATTACGTTAATAAAGACCCGGCGCGCACAATTAAACTTCTTGTTCGATGCACTTTCACGGCAATCACTCGCGCGGTCAATTCGGAGCGAGGCACTTTTCGCAGTTGCGAATCCGCGCACAATTCATGACTGACGAAAAATATAGAAAAATTTCTTAAAAAACTTGTGTTCACGATTATATAAATTATTCCTTATAAATCCTTCACTAGTCTTCTTTTATTAAAGAAGTAAAATAATACATAATATTTCTTTAAAAATTATAATAAATACAACGTTTACTGTTTTACGTGACTATCCCCTTTATTCTTATTATGCAAATTGAGAAAAATATTACAGAATTATCTTACTTCAATTTTCTAAAGAAGAAGAGGAAAAAAAAGACTATGATAACGATGTAAATAACTCGACTTACTCGATGTAAATTGCTCAACTTACAGAAATGTCGTTTTCAATAAAATCTCATCCGGTAAGACATAGTATTTTCCCGCAGCGTCGAGATTTCAACTATACACTTGATATAAGCCGTACGACAGAACGAACAAAACTGGCACGTCGACCACAACAGCGAAACAGAGAGAGACGGTTCCTCTCCCGGAGAGGAAAGGTGGCCAATTAGCCGTTACTCGGCGCACATGCCTCGACCAACTATCCGACGCAGCTGCGGCGGTACACTGTATCGCGTCGCTGCATCGCGCTGCACTGCTCGCGCACTTCGAGGGAATCGCGTTCATAAACGCGCACGATTCTCCCGCGGGTTTCCCTCAACGAGCTGCGAGCTACAAACTACCGTTCATTTAGCTATTCTTTCAAGAAAATTATCGATAATAACATGTAAACAATTTTTGTTTAATATGAAAAAAAATAAATTTTATTACTTAATTATTACTTTTATTAACTGTTACAAAAAAAAATGCAAAATATTGTTTTCTTTTGTAAAAAAAATATTTTTGTAAAATTTAAAAAGGAACCGTTTGAATTCAATCTTCTACGATATAATTCAAAAACGTTATATAATTCAATTTGCAAAAGAGAGGACTTTACAAATAAAATTTATTTCCATAATTTATGGTCTGTAAAATATAGAACGCGATTTAGTTATATCTGATGCAGATGTATGACAAAGAAGAAAGGCGAAACAGGAGTAAAAAATGGCTTCGTGTACGATGCGTGTAAGTTTCTTCCGCTTTCGCGACAAAGCGTGCTACTGTGCACCTCGCAGAAAGCAGCAACATAATAATTCGAGAACGAAGACGTACGGCCAAGCGTGTACCGCTATTCCGGCTGACCGGAATCACTGCTCTGGAACAACACAGTATCGTCTTCTTACTCGATTCGAGAGTAGAAGCGCATTGATCTCGAGCGTGTAATATTGTCGAATAATATAGTAATGTAAAATTTATGATTTTATAATTATGCTATATAAATATCTAAATATTTAATATCTAAACAACTCCTATTAATCAAAAATCATAATTCCATATTTATTACTTATCTAATCAGATTTAACTTGAGTCTAAATAAATTTTGTTTAGTTTTAAGTGTAATTTTAATTGTATAAACAAAAGAAAAAAATTCTTATGTTATAAGGTGATATATATAATTATTATACTCATATAATTAATATACTCATTTATCTAATCCCAAAATTCGTTAAATCCGTTCTAAAAAAATATATACAAATAATATTTATATACAAAATTAATAGAAATTTTTATGTTAAAACAATTTCAACATCAGACATAGCATTACAATTTCTTCAACTTTCTATTATTACGATTTCTAATTTATGCGATATTACATTATATTAGATTATATAAAAAAATTTAAATATTAATTGTAAAGTTTTGAAAAGTTTTAAAATAACTTAAATAAGCTTTTATAACACAAGTTTTATATAACTGACTCTATTATAATTATCTAAGAAATTTTAATAATTAATTAAATAAAGATACATAAATATTCATATAATTTAGTATATTTTATTTTATAATTAGTTTGGAAGAATAAATTGTTATTTTAATTATAAATCTGTTTTTTATTCCTCAAATACTTATTTATTAAATAATTTCTTAAACTCGTTTAAAACAGTTTATCTTAATATAAAATACTTTTAATTTAAAGTTTCTTTTAGCGCAATTTTATTCTATCTCTTATGATATCTTTAAAACTAGTACATGACTTTCACATATAAAAACTATAGCAGTGAAACAGATGCTATATTGTGTTCTTTCTCGTGACTCTTCTTATCTGAATGATTTATCGACGAATTTAATTTATAACTACGGCACGTGCCGGTGCGCAGCACGCTCGCATAACAGGCGGAACATTCGAGCGTGCAGATTATCGGAGCGACCAACTAACAAGAGGACAGCAGGAAGCCTTACGAAACGCATAAAAAGGACAAGCTATTTCTAGTCGAGAAGAGAGACTCCGTT